TGAGAGGGCTGTTGTGAGGTGTCTTTTCAAAGGTCCAAAAATTGCAACATCAAGTGGTTGGAGTATATGTGAGGTATGTGGAGGTAGTATAAGGAGCGATATGCGATTCTGTATGCAGTGTGATATGAGGCTCCCACTTATATTGCTGTCATGGCCATCACAAATAAGGAGCCTTTGTTGTAGTTGTCCATTTGGAAGTGTTGCTTTTGCTCTTGTAGAAGGCTCAAAAACGCGTTTTAGCCACTCATATCCATGAAGATTGCTTGTCCATCCTTTTGTATTTGCAGAGAAGTGCCATTTGCTTATAACATCCTTTGGAATCCAGCTCTGTAGTACATTCTGTCCCTTGAAGATAATGAGGGGGTCGGTGGTTGTTCCAGATGCACTCAACAGCAGAGACCCATTCCTGCCTTCCTGGATGTGCCTGAAAACGTGTCCTAAGTGTAGAATCGACTATAATTCGTGTAGATTGCATTGTTCCAATTGAAAACCCAGTCTCATCCATATTGTAGGTGTTGTAGTTTTCGATTTTTTGCTCTGTTGTGGGGCTCTTGTATGCGTCAAACCACCCCTTCAACACCTGCTTTGTGACCCCATTCATCCTTTGTGCCTCAACCCTTCTTCCTAGCTTAACACGTAAGTTAGGATGCCTCTGAATGAACCGTGTCACCCAATCTTCCCCAAGTGGTAACTTAGGTAGTTGGAGTTGTGGTTGTTGAGTTTGTGTCTGTTGAGTTGGTCGGGTCTGCTGAGTTGGTCGGGACTGCTGAGTCGGTCGGGACTGCTGAGTCGGTCGGGACTGCTGAGTTGGTCGGGACTGCTGCTGAGCCGGTTGGTTTGATGGGGTCTGCCAAGCCACTAGTTAGAAATAGCCGAGTCTGCCAGTCTATGGCAGGTTTGATGGGTTGGTAGTTGACCTGACTGAGCTGGTCAACTAACTCTGTAGGTTGGCTCACCTGGGTTTGGAAGACCCGACACTTGTTTGACCGGACTTCCTCTGCAACCTCACGTAATATCCGATGGCTAGGAGCATAACCACTTGCAGTAAGATTTTTGATCCATTTTAAAAGGGTCTTTTGTTGGGTTTGGGAGAGTAATCGATGTTTTAAATGTGCTTCTTTATGTGAGGTATGTCGCCCTTTAATGCGGCTAACAACTGTATCAGGCCTTAGATGTAAGGCCTTTGCAGCAGCATTTGCAGTTTTATATAAACCAGATTTTACTCCAGCTACTGCTTCAAGTATTACAATATCGCGTTCTTGAGCTTTTAAACTCCGTTTGCGTACCATAATAATGGGGTAATTGATAGGTTTGGTGTGTTGGTTGATGGGTTTGATGGGTTAGTTAAGTGATCGCTTACCTCACCAACCCGGTATGGCCACGACCTACGTTAAGTATATAAATTAGCTAAGGTTAAGAATATTAAGCTCTACCAAGTCAATTAAAGTAATTATTACAGTTTGAATTATATATCACGTGATGTGTATTTGCTTGTGAATTTACCTGTAAAATTGAAATAGCCGGTCTGGCCATGTAGCCGGTCTGGCCATGACCTACGTTATGCAACAGGTTGCTAGTATTGCTAGCATTTTGATATATAAACTATTGTTATATATACTCCTTATATTTAAGACGAATAAACTTTAATAATTTTATTGGAGGAGTTATTTAGGTTTTAAAGTTTCCGTTTTTAAGTACCTCCACATACAAATTTGGCTACAAAGGTACATGGGTCGTTTACGCCATTAGACCGCTCACGCCACGACCTACGTTACCTCCACATATAAATTTGTATGTGATGGTACTAATAGCCAGTCTGGCCATGTAGCCGGTCTGACCACGACCTACATTATGTGGCATGTATTGAGCCGCTCTTTCTCATCTGCTAACTTATGAATATAGCTTTGTAGGAATGTTGAGAATGCGACGACTTATTGTAGAAGAGAGTAACGTAGGTCATGGTCAGACCGGCTACATGGCCAGACCGGCTACCCCACCAAAATTGAGGACTAGACCACCAAAACCAACCACCACCACCAACACTAACGTAGGTCGTGGCGTAGACGCAATAGCGTAGATGCAGTAATGTACCTTTACATACAAATTCATATGCAAAGGTACTTCACACTTCCAAAACTAAAAACCTAAATATCTCCATTAATAAAAATCGTACTGCTTAGATGATCCATATTAGGGTTCTATATATAGACCTTTACTTAACTTAGAAATGCTAACACTTCTAGCGTCGTTTTACCTGATTAATTTAACATTAAAGTTTTCCTCATACAAATATTTGTATGGGTGATTTCATCCAATTAATAGAATAATAACCATGGAACTAGCACTGCTAGACTTTTTATACATTATAAAAAGCTATATATAGAACGTATATATTAAGTAGCTAAGCCTTACGATTTTTATTAGTAGAGCTACTTAAGCTTTTAATTTTGCAAGTGTAAAGTACCTTTGCATATGAATTTGTATGTAAAGGCACATTACTGCATCTACACCATTGCTGCATCTACGCCACGACCTACGTTAACGTAGATCGTGGTCAGACCGGCTACATGGCGAGACCGGCTATTTCAATTTTACAGGTAAATTCACAAGCAAATTCACATCACGTGATATATAATTCAAACTTGTAATAATTACTTTAATTGACTTGCTAGAGCTTAATGTTATTAAACTTAGATAATTTATATACTTATATGTTATAATTAAAAACGCTAGCATGTAAGCTAGCCTTATTAGGTAGTTATTAACAATTTTAGATTTGCTATAACGTAGGTCATGGCGTAACGGGGGTAATGGCGTAACGGGGGTAGTGGGGTCGGAACCACCCCATCAAACCGACAACCCTATTAACTACTACTACTACTATGCTAGAATGGTCCGTCAGAAGAGTATAAAGGCTCAAGAACGCGAAATTCAAATTCAAAAAGCTATATTAGCTATTAAATCAAATCAATACAAATCAATATATGCTGCTGCAAAAGCTTTAGGGCTACCAGAGGAGACCCTCCGCTGTCGCATAAATGGAAGGCACACACGTGTAGAAGCACGCCAGCACCAGCAACTCCTATCAAAAACTCAAGAGCAGACCCTCTCAAAGTGGATTAAAGAGCTTACTGGAAGTGGTTAAGCTCCTAGCCATCGGATATTACGTGAGGTTGCAGAGGAAGTCCGGTCAAACAAGTGTCGGGTCTTCCAAACCCAGGTGAGCTGACCTACAGAGTTAGTTGACCAGCTCAGTCAAGTCAACTACCAACCCATCAAACCTGCTATAGACTGGCAGACTCGGCTATTTCTAACTAGTGGCTTGGCAGACCCCATCAAACCAACCGGCCCAGCAGCAGAGCCGACAGACCCAGCAGACCCGACCGACCCAGGAGACCCGACCGACACAGCAGTCCCGACCAACTCAGCAGACCCGACCAACTCAACAGACACAAACTCAACAACCACAACTCCAACTACCTAAGTTACCACTTGGGCAAGATTGGGTGCCACGGTTCATTCAGAGGCATCCTAACTTACGCGTTAAGCTAGGAAGAAGGGTTGAGGCACAAAGGATGAATGGGGTCAAAGCAGGTGTTGAAGGGGTGGTTTGACGCATACAAGAGCCCCACAACAGAGCAAAAAATCGAAAACTACAACACCTACAATATGGATGAGACTGGGTTTTCAATTGGAACAATGCAATCAACAAGAATTATTGTGGATTCAAGCCTTAGGACGCGTTTTCAAGCCCATCCAGGCCGGCAGGAATGGGTGTCTGCTGTTGAGTGCATCTGCATGGATGGAACAACCACCGACCCCCTCATTATCTTCAAGGGACAGAATATACTACAGAGCTGGATTCCGAAGGAGGTTATAAGCAAATGGCACTTCTCTGCAAATACAAAAGGGTGGACAAGCAATCTTCATGGATATGAGTGGCTAAAACGCGTTTTTGAGCCTTCTACAAGAGCAAAAGCAACACTTCCAAATGGACAACTACAACAAAGGCTCCTTATTTGTGATGGCCATGACAGCCATATAAGTGGGAGCTTCATATCACACTGCATACAGAATCGCATATCGCTACTTATACTACCTCCACATACCTCTCATGTGTTACAGCCACTTGATGTTGCAATTTTTGGACCTTTGAAAAAACACCTCACAACAGCCCTCTCACACCTTAATGAGGCGCAGCTCCTACGCATACAGAAAGCAGAATGGATGGATGCATACATACAAGCAAGAGCAGCTGCATTTTCAAATTCAAATATAACTTCTGCTTGGAGAGGGAGTGGGCTACAGCCGTTCCAGCCACAAACAGTCATACGTGCAGCGACGCTTCCTACAACAGACGTAGCAGAACGGCCAAGGACTCCAACAGAGCATGATATTTTTGAGAAAGTATTTTTGAATAGCAGTCCTCCTCATTTTCAGACACTTTACAAAGCAAATACAGTTCTCTCTTCTACAATAAGTCGTGGTGGTGTTTTGAACACTCCTACAAAGCGATATATTCATAAGTTAGCAGATGAGACAGAGAGGCTTAACACACGCCACATACTACAGCAAAGAGAGACGGATAACTTGCGCAACATAATTCAGAAAAGAAGGGAGCAAAAGAAGGGTAAAAGAGCTGTTTTGAAGGGTCAATTCCACATCTCTACAGAAGAACTCCGGTCGCAAGTAGCAGAAGCAGAAGCAGCAACAGCAACAGCTTCACAGAGGCCTAGAACAACACCACGACTTATAGAGGAAGCTACAATTGAGGAAATAGACAGACAGGGTGAAGAAGAGATATATGACAGCGATTTAGATGAATTAGCCTAGTAGTAATTGAACAATTTCAATTTTTTAAAGGTGGTAGTGGTTTGATGGGGTGGTTCCGACCCCACTACCCCCGTTACGCCATTACCCCCGTTACGCCATGACCTACGTTAACCCTAAGTTATTTAACTATCTCGCGGGACGACTCCTATTCCACCTAGCTGCCTCCATTAAATATACTCCCACCGATCACCCCCTATTAAATTCATCGCCTGCCTCCGCCCTTTCGCTGCAAGCTTCGCCTCTATCGTCTTCGCTGCTAATAAATCTTCTGCCTTCCTTGTCGCTTCAATGTTAATCATTTTCACACGGTCTAGTAGCTCCTTCGGCGCTACTGCAGGGAACACATTCCTCGGCACATCGCCCAACTCGCGCCAGATCCCATAGTGCCTTGCGGCCTTTGTCACGCAGCTGAACCCGTCGTTAGGATAGTAGAGGAACTCATTCGCGCAACTGTCCATGAAACCGCGGCGGGTGAGGAGGGGCATTTGGTTACCGGAGATGGAGCTGCCGGTTGGGACAGAATCGAAGATTTTAGACAAGGAAGGTGGCACTATATTACGGAGAGAGGAGAAGGAGGATCTTAAGTCGGTGTTAGGGGCGGAAGGTGGGCGGGGTGCCATGACGTGGTCGATGGATAAATTAATATATTCTTGTCTGAGCTGGTAGTCCGCAAAATCCTGTGGGTTGTAGCCGAAAACGGGTTTAGACATTTGATTTTTCCCTACGAATATTAGAGCGATGGTGATTAGGGGGAGGCTTTAAAGGAGTGGAGTGACAGAGGGGAATGAGACATATAAACGTACAGGCGTTCTGGTCAAGGCTGTAGCCAATAATATCAAGGAAGTCAGAGTACTGCTCTGGCAGTAATAGGCCGGTGCGATTAATATCCAAATGGTTGAAAATTTCGTTAAAAAATGCCATGCCGAAAGCCGTCAGTGCAGTGTTGTTATAGAACGGCTGCCACCCTGTTGGAGCAGCGGAGTGCGTCTGCTCTTGTTGTGGCTGTTGCGTCTGCTGTACCTGAGGCCGCGGTGGTTGTTGTGGCGGCTGTTGGTGCCTTTGCTGTTGTTGCGGTTGAGCGGAAATAGGTTCTGGGGAAGGCGCAAATGTGTATCGTGGTGTTTGCGAGCCAGGGATCGAGCTTGAATGCAACGTATAAGCATATGGCGAGGACCGCGAAGGGCCAGCCTCTGGTGGCGCTGCGTTTGCGCTCAGAGATGAAGCTGCTTAGTTTGTCTGTGGAGATGCCGAGCTTGGAATTTTAGATGCTGCATGGGGACTTGCAGACGGCAGCGGCGTTGTAGACGCACTCACTGACGGGTGTGGTGGATATCGTTGAGGCGGCAAGCCTTCATCCCCAACCTGTTTCAGCGAGGGCAACGGCAATGGCAACGGCAACGGCAACGGCAACTGCGTCGATACCGGGCGTCTCTGCGTTGAAGCCATTGTGCTGACTGGTTGCAGAGGCGGGCGTGGATGGAGCTCCGACGGGGTGCGAGGGAGGTAGCCGCTGTATTCGTAAAGGAGGGAGGGGTGGGAGGCGAGGTGGGGTGTGGGGGAGCGCGAGAGAATGTAGCAGGAGGCACAGAAGTGGGAGGGACATGTGTTGCAGGAGACACGGGGGGAGGATGAAGGAATAGGGAAGGTGCAGGAGGTGCAGTGGAAGGGGAGGGACATGGTGAAGTTGGGGCGTAGTTGGTGAGGGTTGTATGTGAAGAAACAAAAGGTGATGAGATGTTAGTGAGGATGCTATTGGGGTTTGATGACTTGTAATGAGCCTCTCGGCAATAATAGTCACGCTATCTTAACATGTAGGCGTATGCGTAGGTGCCCTTCTAATCTATATGTTCTAGCCTTACCGCCGCCACAATATCGACGTCTACCTAGACGTCTAGCTAATAGTCTGGCCCTCATACCAATATTGGTGAGCTGGCTGGCGCTAACAGCCAATAGTCTAGCCCCCTACATAATGCTTCTAGGTTGCAACTGTTAACTGTTGGAGGGAGAAGGATTCGGCGCATAGTCCGACTCCCAGATTGGCTCGGAAGCTCTGGTGGTGTAGGCCTTATGCAGCCACCGAATTCCAGCTGAATTGTCCAGCGAGTCGCAGTTGTCGGCGAAGATGGTCGCGTCGGTGCGGTCTCCGCCAAACCCCCCGGGCTCAGTTCCAATAGCAGAGAAGACGGTTGAGGCCGACACCGACTTCGCCAGAGGCACAGGGGTTGGCAATGGCGAGTGAGAGGGCGAGGAGGAGGGAGATTGCGGTGCTGGTGAATTGCATGGTGGCGGTTGTGCCTTTGGTGGTTTGATGAGGCAGGTTGTTAGCAGAGACTAGGACTGATGATATGATAAAAAAGAAACGCTGAACTCGCTCTCTCTTTATAGAAATTCGACGATGCCACCACGGCCCTCCCCTGGCTCTTATGATCTGCATCTCCGTGAGAAATTGCAATACGAGTTAAGACTCCTTCTCAGCTTAGTTCGTCGGTCCTTCTCTATATCCGCCAGGCCAGCGATCCTTCCACGACGCTGTGACTTCTAAGAGGACATCAAGGGTCTGTGGTCATCCCTAGAATTTGGAATTCCTCCTTTTATCAGGCTTAGCGACTAATCACTAGGGATTCTATTACGTCCTTCGTAGAGAATGATAGCCCTCGACTATATAAACGTGGCGCCCTTGACAGTTACGACTTCAATCCTACGACTAGTGGCCGGGCCGACTGCCACTTATCTCCACCCCTTTGGCTTTGGTCTTGCTGTCAACCCCCACCAAGCTTTTTACCCATTGCTGCAATAAGCAGCGCCAGGGCAGCCGAAAACAGCAGCCAGTTTACAGCAAGGTAGATAAATGGGGTTGGTTTTCGCCACAATTCAATTACATTTAATATGATGAAGTGCATGCTTTGGATAAATCACCATCCAATATCGTATTTAACGACTTCAACTCATCATGCTTTTTTTATTCTATTTCCCGGCTGATGGGTGTAACATCAGCCCATCTCTTTCCCTCCCTATCTTTCGCACTGTCTAGTTCTACTTGTGTTGCCGTTGAAGGCATTCTCTCCTATGCCGAGCCGGTATATAAAAAATCATGAGGTAATTGTAAAAAAAAGGAAAATCGTGAGATCGTTGAAATCCCCAGGACGCCCGCCAAACTTGTTGAAGTTGGCCCGCGCCACGCTAAATGCAAGAGCCGTGCCCCCCAGGGCAATTGCTCAGAGAGCAGCTGGACGGCCGGAAAATATGAGTTGATCCTATAAATATTTGAAAATCACCAATTATGCCACTGGAAGGACGTTTGATACAATTGTCGGTGGGGCATCTTCGACTTTGTCCCCGTTCGTAGCTGGCACACCAGTCGCAGCAGGCGCCGGGGCAGCTCCAGGTGCAGCAGTACCCTCGGCAGCCTTGTCAATGTTTGGGACAGTAAGGCCCTCAAACAGCGAAAATAGTGCATCGCGTTGATGGAAGTCGTTATGGACTAAATTAAGTTAGTGAATGTCAAGAAAAAAAACACAAGAATAATGGACATACCGATATTAACGAGGTAAAACGTCTCCATAACTCGCTGAATAACATTACGGCTGGGGCTCGAGGCGTCATGGCAATGGGCCCAATCCATTCCTAGACGGAAAGCCTCATCCTTCCAGGCCAAAAAGCTGATCGTTTCCACGATGGTTGGCTGAACGATTTCCTTTCCGGGAAACACACCCCAAGTGACAGCATTTGGAGCATCACTAGGAGCATTGGTTCGTAGCGTGCCTGACTTTGTAACCGCATAATAAGTCACCCCGGGGTCTCTCGCGATTCTATCAAGCAGCTCATCGATAAGTTCCGGTGCAACCAAAAGCTCAAGGTACGCTTTCTGGTAGACGTATCCATTTAGGGGTCCCCATCCATAAACCGGGTGAGATGACTTGACACCATCCACGGCAGGTTGCGAGTTGATCGTAAGCAGTCCGTGCTCATTAAGTTCCACGAGTTGGTTCTTAATAACATCGGCTTCGTTCGAGATCGGTGCCTCGCTCCATGGCAAACTTTCGATGTCGGCATTCAAGTATCGCAGGAATACATTTGCAATGTCCTTGACTGACTTCGGCTCGCCCCATAACTTAATGTTCTGCTCATTGCTCCCCTTCAACCCGATTCCATATGCATCAAGTTCGCCAAAAGCCGGAGACCTCGAATCACCCCATCTGCCGTTGGGGAACTCATCCCACTCCTGAGTTCGCATGACATAAGACTTGTTTCTGTTGCGCCAGAAAATGGGTCGTACATCTTCCCCGCGTCTCCCAAGGCCAAGGGATTGGCGCCATGGTAGAGCCTGTTTCAATGGGCGTTCTTCAGATGGAAGCATCTCGAGCTGTTCAAGAACGCTGCGAGTTGCCTGGGCCAAGTTCATCGTGTAGAAATGCAGGTGGTTGATCCCCGACTCGAGGATAGAGCGACACATATCAGTCACTAATCCTCTCCCGATCTCCCTGACAGCTGCGTCGTCGTTCTTGACGGGTTCCATGACTTCAATCCATCCAGGAGGGATCTTCGCATTCATATGGTTGCACCTTCTCAGGAAGCTGGCATATGTGGAAATGGGCATGATGCCTGGGATGATTGGAATGGTTATGCCCTTCGCCCTAACCTTGCGGACCCAATCCAAGAAGTTGCGAACATCGTAGAACATCTGAGTCACAATGAAAGTTGCGCCCTCGTCGACTTTTTCCTTCAGGTGGTCGAGTAAAAGATCCGCATCTGTTTGATCGTCACAGCCTTCTGGGTATCCCGCAACGCCAATATCGAAGTGGTTTCCGTAGGTTTTGCGAATATATTTGACAAGATCTCTTGCGTACTGGAATCCTTCGTCGGTAGCCACCCATTTTTCCTTCTCGCGAGGGGGGTCCCCACGGAGAGCCAGAATGTTTGTGCAGCCAGCCTTGTATGCGTTCTTGAGGGCATCATCGACCTTCTCCTTTCCCATGTCCGTACACGTCAAGTGCATGCATGTCTCCAACCCGTAAACCGACTGTGCCACACTGACCATTTCACATGTTAGTTGCGCGTGGCGACCGCCAGCACCCCAGGTTATGTCAATGAAGCTCGGTCCCAGCCCATGCATTCTGTCCATGCGATCGTACAGGTTCTGGACACCTTGCGCAGTCTTTGGCGGGAAGAATTCGAACGAGAAAGTAGGCTTCCCCGCCTGCTCCCCCTGGTTTAGCATGTCCTTGATATGCATCGTGAAGAATATGAGTGTGTGTGTGTGAGGAGCCTAGGTTCGGTTCTGGCGCGTAAAATTAGTTATGGCTGTTGTGCTACCGCAGGCCCCGGGAATGATATAGTCGGCATGAGGTGAGGGATGTCGCTGGAATAAGTCTCCGACTTACCATGCAAATTGAAAACCCCGCGGTGAAGCTGAAGTTTGGCTGCTCCTGGTTTATCAGCGTGTCAGCCAAAGTAACGTTTGCGAGCCCAACGATCTGCCTCCTCTCGCTGCATGTACACCACTAACTAAGGCTGGTGGATATGGTGGAGTTTTGAGGTTTTTGATGATGGAGGGGAAGAAGTGGCGGTCGAAGTGGCGGTCGTTGGGTACATAAGCATGTATCGGTGCGACTATCTTGTTTTGAGGTTATAGTGGGGGTAACTAATTAGCCCAACTTACCTCGCGTTCGGAAAGAGCAACAGTTTCCTTTCCTTGCACCCCGATCCCCCGCTACCCAGCCAATTCCATCCCCCGAACCGAAATTATAATTTGATGTAAGCCAATTGAGGGTACTGGACCCTTTTCGTGGGCGGCATCGTCACCCATATGTCCATAGCCATGATGAGGCCTTTTTTGATGTGGCTTTCGGATTCATACCTATAAATCCGATATAAATGGTCGATCCTGTGTGATCGACAATGACATAGTGCTATTATCACAGGCAATCAATCAGCCCACCAATCCCCTGGTTCTATGCCGGCCTAAGGGGGTGGCCGTTGCATCCCAAGACATCATCCTATGCAGCTAGAGTATGCAGTTGTGCAGTGTGATTCGAAAGATTCTATTCATCGTCCGACTAAAACTGAGTCGTGATACGTATGATTTTAACAACCAGCCATTCCCACCCCGTACGCTCCAATTTCCCCCGAAAAAAATGACAACAAGACACAGTAACAAAACCAAGCATCATGTCCCATAAAAGAAAGCCGTTTAGCGACTTTGCGTCTTGCCCATACCGCGCTTTCCAGAAAACTAGATCGATGATTAGCTGAGGCACAAGGGAAGGGGTTATAACAGGCAGGACTTACCAAATGCTTAGGCATGGCAGCCGCAACATGTCTGTCAGCCTCACCAGCACGGGCCATTCTGTTTCTATGCCTCTGGCCCAGCTTGGCAATTCTCTCTGCCTTCGTCCTGATAACTCCCTCGGGAACACCGTCCTCACGACGGTTGCTCTGGCTTCTAGCACGGCTCTTCGCGCGCATCTTGGCCTCGTACTCTGGCGAGTCAACATCCATAACATCCTCAGTTCCAGCACGGCTGCGAACAACACTACGTCCTCTGGACTGCGATCTTGCGCGCGCAGTGAGCGAAGTAGTATCCAGACCAAGCGAGTCCAAGTGATCCTCCATATCCGTAAGCTTCGCCTTTGTCAATGTGCGTGGGATGATAGCCCTGTTCTTCAGGGACTTCTTCATCTTCGCGGCATTTCTGATGAGGATTCTCTTCTCCCTGATTAGCTCAGCCTTCATGCGGATATCGGCATCCTCGGCATCCTCAAGATCATCCTCAGAATCGTAGTAACCCTCGGCCTCAAGCTTCTCTTCCTCCTCCTCCAGCGCAGCAAGCTTAGCCTCAATTTCTGGATCGATGAAGTCGTAGACGTTCTTGCCGTCCAGAACCTCAGGAACCTTATCGTACTTCCACTCGTCGTTCTCAAGCATGTACTTATCCTTGAGGTTGATGTTGAAGACACCAGCTCCTCCGTTCTCCTCCTCGATGTCACGAGCAAGCTTCCGGCGCTCAGGATCATTTTTGTCGTATTTCTTCATCTCCTTGACGGCATCCGGAATAAATGCCTCTCTAACAACACCGTTCATTGGGCGAGCAACGTGGATACGTGCAAGGACATCACCAAGACGACCACCGACTGCGCCATTGCTGTTTGTGCCAGCCTTAAGCTTCTGGGCCACACGGTCCGCAATCAAGCGCTCGCATGCAGCATTCTTCACTTCTTGGACACCTTCCTCGGTAGTGCAGGATAATTGCAGCATCTCAATATCTCCTGGCTTCAGTAGGGACTGGAGCTGTGCCTGGGACTCAGCATCGAGATCTTCTGGGCGCATAACATCGATCTTGTTGATGACGATGAAGACGAGCTTGTTGGCGAAAAGAGGCTTAATACTCTGGAAAAGCGCAATCTGTGCGGCAACAGTGTAACCACACTGCTCGGAGAGATCCATGAAGTATAGAATAGCAGATCGCAAATGGGCGATGGCTGTGATCGACTGCATCTCGATGGTGTTCATCTCCTCCAGCGGGTGATCGAGGATTCCGGGGGTATCAATAGCTTGGAATCTGAGATACTTGTAATCGAAGTGACCAACGAACAAGCTCTTGGTGGTGAAAGCGTAAGGCTGAACATCAACGTCCGCACGGGTCACGCTCCTCAGGAAACTCGACTTTCCGACATTGGGGTAGCCACAGATGAGTAGCGTTCTGGTGTTGGGGTCAATCGAGGGGAGACGGCCTAAATGCTGGCGAACCTGGTCGAGGTATAGAAGAGGGTCCTTAAGGCGCTTGCAGATGGTGGCCATGCGACCAAGAGCAGCACGCTTGAGCTGCTTGCATTGGAAAAGCGACTGGGCGTATTTGAGGAGGCGGACGTAATCGCGGGAGACGGTTTCGATCAGATGCTTCGCTGTCGCTAATTGACCCAGGGCAATACGGAAATGGTCGGCATCGTAAAGAGTATTCAGAAGATCCTTGTGGAAGGGATGGATATCCTGAAGACGCGGGAAGCCATCGAGGATCAAAGAGATCTTCTCGCTGAAAGTCTCCTGCGTGAACTTGACCTTCCTGGTGTAAAAGTCTAGGGTAGTGGTTAGTTTTGTGGTTGTGTTGTGTCGACGATAGAAAATACTCACTTCTGATTCTGCTAATCTGAAATCCTGCACGAATCTGCGTGGGGAGTCTCCTCTGCGTACGACTCAACACAATGTCCAAAAACTCCTGCGAAGTCGGCACCGGCTGGATGTCTTTCCACGTAGTCTTCATTCTGGCGACGTTTCTTACGAGAAGAATGTTTCGAAGTCAAATGTCGGTCGCAGTTGAAGGCCACAAAGTTTCGTTGTGAGCTTTTCTGTGGAGGCGCAAAATCTAAAGTTTAGCGCTAAAATAATCGTACCGTCCTTATCGGAGGAGGATTAGAAAGTGGCACGGAGCAAGCGGCCGCATCTGTACCCCACCGTTACTCCAGTACAACCAACACCAGAGTACGGAGTACGGAGGTCACCAGGAAATATTACAAAGGCTCTATCTATATCATTATGCGGCGAAGCACGAGGTTACATACTACTGCATTATGGAGGCTCCACGAAAGGGAAGTGATCGTTTCTCAAATGTAAGCTATTTGGCTCTATATTTTTCCTTCGCTTTAATGCAAAGTAGCTGGGCCCAATATGCCATGACTGAGTGCGCCTTGAGGGGCCAAGATATCAATAGATCCTGAAGCTATCAAGGGCCATTCAACCCCAAAAGTGGCCAATTTTTAGACCCCTTTATGACGTATGCCATAAGATAGTCTCTCCTTGGCGACAAGATCTTCGATGTCTGGCTATTTTCGTAAATAGCAAACGATTCTAGCTGCTATCGTATGATCATCCCTGAAAGAGTAAACCCGCAGCGAATTCGACGTTTCCATCGCATGCATTCAGTGCATTGACGGCCTCCTCCCTAGAAAAGCCGAGTGCGACTAGCTGGTCGATACTCTCTGCCGAGGGAGCTGAAGCCGGAGCAGCTTGAGGGGGTTGAACCGGAGGCTGCGGTTGGGGAGTCGCGGCGGCCTGCGCAGCCGGTGCTGTAGGTGTATTTGCCGTTGCCGGACCGGCCGGGCCCGATATTGCTCCCGATCGTCCTCCAATGGTAGTGCCACCAGGGCCCTCAACCGTGGGCTCCCTGACCTCTTCGAAACTCCTGGGTATATCTGCTTCGCCAAGGAAAGGTACCTCCACGTCTTGGATAACGAGCTTGTCTTTCGACAAATCTATGCATGCCTGATGCCTTTTGAGCATGTCAAGCCCAAGGAGGAGATCCACATCCTTGCCTTCCATGACAGTGAAACTGCAAGGAAGGAATAGGCTTCCGATTTTGATCTGAGCTGAATGAACTCTGCCTAAGATATTTGCTGTGCCCACACCTCTTGCAATGCCCGCAAAGCGTTTATCAACGAGCCTCATAATCCCGCAGGACTCGGCACACGATGGTGACATGATGGTTGCTTGAGCCCCAGAGTCGACGAAAGCTTTGACCTTGTGGCCGTTGACCTCGACGTCGATATATAACATGTGAACCCTGCCGAACACTAAAACACCACAGTTAGACACTTCTATTGAGACTCATTGCTGGCTGATATGGGCTACTTGCCTTCGGGGTTGTGTTCGATGGCATTCTGGAGATTCTCCTGCACCCGCTCTTCTCTGATCATCTCAGCAATGCGAGTCTGCGCATCGATATCAAACGGATCCGCGTTGAGGTCAGCAAGGTGCTGCTGGCGCATCATCCTTTCTCTGCGTTCCTGATCCTGCATCTGCCTGAACAGCTGAGCAAATCTCTGTGGGTTTTCGACAGCCGCTGCCAATTCTGGTTGTGCTCGCTGAACTTCTTGTCGCATGCGAGGGTTGCCGAGCAGTTGGAGTCGGATCACCTCTGGATCTTGTTCGTTTTGACTGGCAGCTGGCCGTCTGGCTGGTTGTTGTGCTTGGCCTGGTTGAGGGACGCCGGTATTCCCTATTATATCCCTGACGTGTAGTGCGAGCATATCACCATCTACGACTTGTAGCTGCTCTAGTGTCTTGTTGTCGTCCGAGAGCAGCTGCCCGTTGTGGTAGATGTGTTGTGAAGTCGTTGGAATGTGAGCTTCGGCCTGGACCATCCCCTTCAGCGAGCCAACGGTTGTCTGTGTTGGAACCTCTAGGTTGAGAAGGTCTTGTTCGAGGGACTCTTCCGAGGCAATATTCAAAGTGAGCCGCATCCTGGGCGAGCTCTGAGATCGAGAGTCCCACGCCTGGCTTGTCAGTCAATTGGTGCAACGGAGACTGTAGGAGCAGAGCAGCTTGTATCGATATTCACTCTGTAGGTGTTTACGTGGGGTAAAGAACCGGCGAAAGTTTGTTGTGGTGTATCCAGCCAGGCAGGCACCACCGAAAACGAATACCTTGTTATTCTGGCATGAATAGATAGCGAGGAGCGCCTCGATGGTAAGCCTTATCGCCCCCTCATCACCCATCACCCCGCAATCTCGACCACACGAAAAACGCCGCTACGTATGACGATGACCGAACTATCTATGCCTGGCCCTTACGCTTAACATGGCACTCTGACCTGACACTCTCCACAGAAAAACCTCAACGATGCCTCTCGATCCCAATCACCAGGAGGTGCAAGATGCGCCGATAATACAGAACGTCGACGAGCTGGGCGGACCTCCTGCCGACTACTCCGATGACGCTAATAACAGGTTCGTTATCATCAACAACGCGGACGAGGGACAGCACGGCGATGAGGGAGAGGGACAGGCCCGGAGTCTGCGCTCCCTGCACCCGTATACTCGCCCGCTGACCATCTCCGACCTCGACTCCTGCATTGCTCTCGAGAATGCGGCCTTTGACGACGAGAACGAGAGATGCAGCCCGGATAAGGTGAGCTGCTTCTTATATGTCACGTGTGGTCCTTGTTCTTCCCCGTTGCTGCCATTGCGAAGGTATATTGCTATGTACCTGTTGGATTACCTCCTGCCCGAAGAGAGACCAATTGTGGTTTTCTGGAAATTCCCGTCTTGCGCCTTGTCGTTGAAATCTTGCCCGGCGTGAGATACCTCACCATCACCTGAGGATCCAATCCAGCACAGCAAACAAACACAACCAAACAGTACCAACCTCTAACCAACCCAAACAGTTCAAATACCGCCTCAGCAAATGCGGCGAACTCAGCCTCGGCCTCTTCTGCACCGCCACCCCCGACTCCGACATCCCCGCCGCGACCCTCAAGACCGGCAAACCCGTCGAGACGTCGCGCGCCAACGGCGCCGTCAGCGTGCTCCTCGCCCACGTCGTCGCGACCAAGACGCGCGACGGCCTGGCCACCGACGTCGCCATGGACTACCCGCGGGACTGGGAGAGCGTCAAGAGGGACGAGAGTAAGGAGGGGCATCATGAGGATGGGAGGACGATTTGTGTACATTCCCTCGCTGTGCTGCCGCAGTTTCAGGGGTCGGGGATTGGGCGCACGATCATGATGGCGTATATGCAGCAGATGAACGGGGCGGGGATTGCGGATAGGTTGGCTATTATTGCGCATGGAGTGAGTTAGGCACTGCTGTCACTGTTGGGAGATGGATTGCTAACAGTGAAGCCCTTGGTGCCGTACTATGAGAAGCTTGGGTTTGTGAGCAAGGGACCTAGTGAGGCTCAGTTCGGAGGAGGCGGGTGGTTTGATATGGTTAGTTGCTTCCCACCATCCCCATTTGCAACCAAATCATGCTAACTTTGACAGATATTCGACCTCAAATCCATCGAGGCTCGAGCCATGTACGGATGAGTCTAGCGGGCACAGGAACGGCAGCGCCGCATTATATGGAAGAGTACAGAAGGAAGGCACAGGGTGAAGGCGCTGAATTGTATGCATTTGCTGGAGAAATATCATAGTGCCATTCCGGCAATTCAACTATCTTAGTTTGTAAACACACGGTTTCAGCACCATCGCCTCGCTCGAGACCGGCACGTCCTCCTCCTCCAGGAACTTAGGCTTCGCCTTCGGCTTCCACGTCGTCTGGCCCATCTTCTCCATACCCTTAGGCACCGGCACGCACTTCCCCTTCATAGGCGCTAGGGCCTTGACGAAAGCCATCTTGACGAACATCCTGTTACTCAGATCCACCGCCTTCTCGCCCTGTAGCACAAACCCCCTCTTCCGTAGCACCTCCACGAAAGCTGACACGTCCGTCTCGGCCTTGGTATCATCGTGCCCGTCCACCTCGACGAGGAGATCCGCATTATCAGCATCCTCATCCATCTTCTTCGCCGCCTTCGCGGCCGGCTTCTTCCTATTCCCCACGCTATGCTCGACGCGTTTATGCGCGCCCCCAACCCTGCCAAACCGGCTCTTGATCTCCGCAATCCACAACTCCCCCTTCCAATGCAAGATCCTATACGCCTCCTCGATGAAATCAACCCAATTCGTTCCCATGAGCGCTAAACAGAAGATCGCGACATCACAACTATCATCCTCTAAGGGCAAGTTCGAAATATCCGCCTTCGTAACAAACGGACTCGGGTTCTGCAAATCATAGCTGAAAACTTGCACCTTAAGCGCCTTCTTCTCCTTCTCCAGCGCCTGCGTCAGTTTCGCATCTCCACACCCGAGATCAGCAATATAACACGTCCCTACCGTCCTCGGCAACGGCAGCTTATCAATCTCCTTCGCCGTATCAGGATGCTCCCCCTTCCCCCTCTCCTTCGCTGCCACCTTCCCCCGCTTCCGGATCTGTGCGATATACGTATCAACCGGGTTCTCGGGCCAGACCTCGACCTGGCGCCGGAAACCCTCGTGGTACTCGTGGAACATCTCGGGGTTCTCGGAGAAGAGGGATAGGGAGTGCGCGGAGGGCGTGGTGTAGAGGGTTTGGTTGAGGTGGCGGAAGCGCGCGGAGACGAGCTTTTGACGCATCGAGGCTTGGAGGGGGGTGAGTTTGGGTTGCACTTTGGCGGGGGCGGGGGGGGAGATGGTATGTGTTTCTGTGGGTTCGCTGGTCTCGGGCGCGACGCTGGCTTTCGCTTTCTCGCGCTTCTTGTCTTTCATGGTCTTTCTCTTCTGACCTCTTTCAGAGAGGGTGATGGCAGCTGTTGGGTCGGCGGCAGCGGCGGCGGCGGGCTTCGCATCTGCGACTTCGGTGGCTGCTGGTGCATTTGCATCGGGGCTGGATAGCTCCTTCGCTGGCTCTTGTGTGACTTTCTGTCTCTTCTCGCTGGGCTTTGCCTTCGCTGCCTTGCCTCCCTTTGGCGTCTGATCCTTCTCGATAACTGAAGCATAGAGATCCGCTACATTGGCCTCGCTGACATTGACCTGCTTCTGGTCTTTACTCGCACGCTTCCTCTTCTGTCCAGCTGCGCCCGCTGGGCCAGCCTCGTTCGAAGCTCCATCTGCCGCTGGTGTCTGCTCCGATTTGGCCGGTTTGAGAGTCTGTGTTTTCAGCGCGCTGGCCGGAATGGACCAGCCTTTTACCGCGAACATGGTGGTTCGGGTAAAGAGGGATTTTCGTTGGTGTGGTTGTGGTTGTGGATTTTGGGTGGTCTCGTTATCGGTCACCAGCTTGGCCGTGATAAAAAATTAACTTTTCGCTTCGCTCAAGGTTGGAGTAAGCAATGTCGTGCGTCTGTTCACCGCCACTCCATAATAAAACTTCTACCATAGCTACACATACTATTTTATATAGTAAATCTATGTAATTCCTTTAATGGAAAGGACTTCTCTATCAAATGCCTGTGAATGGCTAGCAGAGAATCCCTCTGAAGCTGCAACTACTGCTAGTCGGATTTTCAAGGTTCCTATATCAACTATACGCTCACGCATCCACCGCCAACTAGGCTAACAGCTACCCTAAGGGGGTAAGAATAAGGTGCTCTCTACTGCCTAGACAGAAGCTATTAAGAAATGGATTCTAGAGCAATATCACCTAGGGCTTGGAGCTACGATAGCTATCATATTTACTACTGTCTGTAAGCTCTAGAGCCTAGAGCCACCACCCTCATAGAGCTTTCTTACAAAATATATACGGAATGAGCTTTAAGACTTCCACTTTATTACTACAAAGCTAATTGCACAGCTATGTACAAAAGCTCAAGATGGGTCTAGTATTACAAATTGGTTTCGAGACTACCTTGAGTTTATACTACAGTGTAATATAAAGCCAGAGTGTAGCTTGTCGATTAACAAAAGAACGTCACTTCATTCCGTGCTTCGCAGGTCAAGAAGGCACTACAGCAGAAGCCACAGCGCAGTTACTGCTCTGGCATGTATGGAAACACCATGGCCTTCCAAATTCAATTATTTCAGACAGAGGCCCCTAGTTTGTGGCTACAGTATGGAAAGTCTTATGCAAAGTTTGGAAAATCACAACAAAACTATCTACAGCATCCCACCCTAAAACAGATGGCTAGACTGAGAGGTTTAATGCAGAGCTAGAACAATACTTACGAGCTCATGTTAACTACCTACAAGACAACTAGGTTAGATACCTCTACATGGCAGAATTTGCAGCAAATGCTCTTCTATCAGACTTAACAAAAGTTAGCCCATTTTTTGCAAACAAGGGTTTCGAGCCAAGAATGAGCTTCGATATAGAGAATAGCGAGTTCTAAACTACCTTACAAGAACACAAGGACATAGCTCAAAGCATGAAAGATATTTGGGAATTTCTACAAGATCAAATTACACTCTCTCAATCTCGGATGGAGACTGCAGCAAACCGGAACAAAAAACCTTCACTAAGATATTTAGAGACAGAGTATGGCATCTACTCAAAATATCGAAACCTAGAGGCCATCTAAAAAGCTTGATTATAAGCAAGTTGGTCCATTTAAGATTCTAGAACGAATTAGACAAGTGGCATATGTTAAGATTCTAGAACGAATTAGACAAGTGGCATATGTTACGATATCAAGTGCGCCTTGCAGCTCGAGTAGGGGTTCAGGGGTATGGGGAGCTTTCCGGGGTTGGAGTGAAGTTTTCAGTTGTGGAGTGAATTCTCAGAACTGGTCTCACTAAAGAGAATTCACTCCACAACAACATAGCTGTATATAGATCGAGCCACTGCTCGAGTGCTCCTCTTCTCTTTCCTTCCTTCTCTAGATTGAGTTTAATTCATAATACCCAACTGACTATGCCTTGGTGAACCGTGACAGCATATCGGCTAGAACTACTAGCAAGTATGAAGATACATCCTGTTTTTCATAGCAACTTGTTAAGACTTAATTCAAATGATGCACTACAAGGCTAACACCATGAACCACCACCTCTAATTATCATAGAAGATGAACTTGAATGGGAAGTTGAAGAAATCCTTGATTCTAAACACCTACAGAAGAAGTTGTTCTATATGGCAGCATGGAAGAACCACCTACTAGACAACACTTAGTATCCTGCTGCAAATTTCAACAATGCTCCTGAACTCACGCAAGCTTTCTACCGAAAATACCCACAGAAGCCACGATGATTCTGCTCTTGATTAGGAGATTAATCTTAATTAGGGGGGGTAGTGTTATAATCACTACTTACAGCTGCTTACGGCTGCTAGCGATTAGGGCAACAAGTACCTACAGTAGCCACTAAGTTTACAGGGAACCGCTAAGCGTACAGCTGTATATAATGAGGGATAGCCTCGCTTACTTCCTTCCTTTCTTCTTCTTCTATCTTTAGATTTAATCTAGCTTACTTCACCTAGACCGTTACAGTATTGTAAAGAATACTATATTAAGTTGAGCACAAAGCTCCTATCTAAGGAAATACTATCTATTTATATAGTGGTGTCGTGCTAAAGGGAATAGTTGGAATAGTAGAATCCCTCACTATTCCTGCTATTCCTGCTATTCTGTCATGTGCGTGCCCTAGGAAATAGTTAGAATAGCAAACTCTCTAACTATTCCTGCTATTCCTGCTATTCTGTCATGTTACAGTAGCCATAACAGTAAGGTTTAACTTAACAGAGGAGGTAGGGGATTAGACATAAAGGCTTTCTAAGTAACACGTCATAGTATGTAAAGAATACTATGTTAAGTTAAGCACAAAGCTCCTATCTAAGAACTACTATCTACTTATATAGTAGCATCGTTCCTAGTGGATAGTTTAGATACAGTTACTGACAAAAAGTATTTGCCGAACGTCGTTTTTACACCCAAACTCAACTACTTCTACATGAGATATTAAATTAGGTAATGAGTAAAAAAAACTTGTGTATTATATATTTGTTTATTTTTGTAGAATGAATCTTTTATAACTACAACTTTTTTTAATATATGTACAGTACTAGACCACTGCTATTAACCGAATTCCAATTTGACGCGTAAATCGCGTCGCGTAACCCACCCCTCCTTGTACAACAACCATAATTATGCCACCAACTCGGAGGGCTTTGGCTCCAATTGATGGGAATCGACAGCCTGGTGGCCAATTAAGCCCATACCAATGCGGGCAGATTATTGGGAGGCAGTCAGAGGGTGCAACACCTACTAAGATTGCACACGACCTAAACCTTGACCGCACCGTACGATATACAATTGCAGTTGACTCAATACGCACCGAAGGCAAGAGCCTACCCCATACACCACGGGGAAAGTCATATACAGAAGCAGAGCAACGCCTTATACTCCGCCATGTACGCCTAAACCCAAAGGATACATACCAAGAAGTAAAGGATGCTTGTAATGTTGCTTGCTCAACATCAACTATAAAGAGGATACTACAAGAAGCAGGCATAGGCAATTGGCATGCAAAGTGTCACCCTTTCCTACTGCCAATACATGCAGCTAAACGGCTTGCATGGTGTTTAGCACGGATGAATTGGACAGCAGAGGATTGGGGTCAAGTTGTGTGGAGTGATGAGTGCTCTGTTGAGCGGGGGCGGGTGTTACGACGGAACAAGAAGGCTGGCCAACTACAGGACAGGAAGGAGGGAGGTTGCATGAGACCGGCCCTGGTACCTGGAGGGGCAGCGGGGAATAGTAGTTCCGAAAGTATCACGTGACGGACTCGCAGGATGATGAGAAGAGTCCTAAGAGTCCAGGACTCCGAGGACTCGAGTGAGTTCCCAGGAGTCCACTAGGCACGTGACGGACTCGCAGGATGATGAGAAGAATCCTAAGAGTCCAGGACTCCGAGGACTCGAGTGAGTTCCCAGGAGTCCACTAGGCACGACGCCACTATATAAGTAGATAGTATTTCCTTAGATAGGAGCTTCGTGCTCAACTCAATACAGTATTTGTTATATACTAGTAACGTGTTACTTGAAGCCTTTGTGTCCGATCCCCTGCCTCCTCTGATAAGTAAACCTTTACGCAAGAGAACCTCTGTGTCTTCTATCGTTTAGAAGTCAGCGTTACACTTTGAGCACCACTTCTACGAGGCACTGGCTCATACACAAAGCAACATGTCTGTCGTCAGTTCGAAGGGGAAAACCCCCACCACGCCAACTTCGTCTCAGAGGTCTAAGCCTGAGAATGAAGAGATGCCCGACGCACCCACCGTCAACGAACTCAAGGAAACTCTACGCGTCAAGTTGCCCGACACTTACTCCGGCAACCGAAAGGAACTTGAGGTGTTTTTGCTACAGGTCGAACTGTACCAGCACTTCAATGACGAGAAGTTTCCCACCCAGGAGAGCTATGCCCTGTGGACTGCGTCCTACCTTAGGGGGGAAGCCCTGCGATGGATCGAACCATTCCTCAAGGATTATTTCAAATATGAGAGTACCAATGGAAGCATGGCAACTACGCAGACTATGTTTGGCAGCTGGAAAGGATTCTGTAAGGAAATCCGACGCATGTTTGGAGACATCGATGAGATTAAGACCGCGGAAGACCATCTGTTTGCACTTAAGCAGACTGGCAGCGCCCTCACGTACTCCACAGAATTCCAGAGATACGGCAATCAGACAGGATGGGACGCCAGCGCACTCATCAGCCACTACCGACGTGGGCTGAAGAGCCATATACGTATGGAACTTGCCCGTTTGGAACAACAACCAACGGACATGGTAGCGCTAATCAAACATACGGTCCGAATCGACAATCGACTATACGAATTCCAGAAGGAACGTTGGACCTATGACAAGCCCAAGAAAAGTTACCCCTACCGGGGAAACGAGGGCAGACGACGGGATCAACACCCGCGAGACAACCGTTGGTCGGACCCAATGGAACTCGATGCCACGTTCAAACCTGGACGACCCCGTGACCCTAAGAAAGACAGACAATTCAAGGAACGACTCTGTTTTAACTGCGACAAGCCAGGCCACATGGCCCGAGACTGCAGACAGCCAAAGAAAGGGAACGGCGGACGCAAAGTCGGCAAACAACTCAATGCCACCTGGACAGGACAGTTGAACGCAACGTTTGTGAGCAAACAGGACTGGGGAATAAACGGCGAAAGCACCCCAGAAGACGAGAGCTCAGATGAAGGGTCGGAGGCGGAATCGTTCACCGTCTCAGAACAGGAGACCTTTGATGAACTCGCACCTA